CTTGGAGTCTATAATGACTCCAAGATCCTTTGTGCTGTGTGCTGATGAGAAGGGAGTTCCCCAGCCTGTAGGTATGCTGCTGGCTCTTTCTCCCTAGGTGCAGTACCTTGCACTTGTCAGTGTTGGTGCTTTAGGGATTCTAGATACCAGAGTTTGATGCCTTGACCTCAGAATGCTATACCATTCAACTCATCCTCACAAATAAATAATTGTTTTGGTTTTTTTAAAATTCAGGTTAGACTTCTACCCTATCACTGAGGGATATCTCTGTAGATAATTAATAGGTAAATTGTTGTCCTATTATGACCACAAATAATTTTTTTATTATGTTTAGGATTGCTACTTAATATTTTAATTGAATGCATACCAAAATAACTCATTTGGAAATTAATATAAACTAATAAATAATTATTTCCTACAGTGCAATCTCTTCAATAAGTGTTCGTGTACAGTAAATGAAACCGCACTTTTACAATTGCATTAACTCTTTTCCCCTGACAAGATATATGTGAGAACATTTTATATGAGAAGCCTGTTCTTGTGGTATTTACTCTGACCAGAAGCAACAAAATAGCCTATACTCTGGAAATTTCAGATCTCCCTTTACAGATTCTAGAGGTTTTCATACTATGGCTTGAGCAAGCATTTAGCTATTTGCATGTAGATCCAACCCAAACCTAAATGTACTATCTGGGGGAAAGGAATATGCTGATATCCCTATCTTACCCATTCTCCAGCTTTTATCAGTTTTCTAATCATTTTTCCTTTGAGCCTGTAGCCCTAAAGCCTTTCCTCCTCATCTGTTCTTCACAATTTCTATTTGTTCAAGCCCTACCTTTCTTTTGCTGCCCAGCATCCCCTCTGTTCTCACTTTCACATATTTCAAAGCCTTAACCATCCCCCCTCACGGCTTTCCCAACATGCAACCCCCATCTTTATTTCTCTTCCCATAATACTGGTTCTATTATTCTCTCTCACTCCCTCCATTACAATTTTTCTTCCAATAACACACACGTCTCACTCTCCCAAATGTACTTTCTCTATTCCTCTCTTCAGCAATTTCTTTACCTTTCCTCTTTCTCAAACATGTTTCCCCATTACTTTCATTTTCTCTCCTCCACATCTGCTTCCTTCCACTCTCCTTTCCAATATACACAGAAGAAGGCATACTCTCCACCTTCTTTCCTGTTTTCATACTTTTCCTCATCTCACTAAATGCCTACCTGCTTGCCTTAGAGAAAAGAAAAGCATGATGTCATTGCTGACAGCAGATCAGATCTAGGATTGGGAATAACTGATTAGGGTGGAAAAAGGGAAGATCAAGAATCAAGTAAGGGAAAATATTTGGTTTGTTTGTGAACAGAATATGATGTGGAGAAAAAAGAAAAAAAAGTACTTGAAAAAGTATGCCGACGTGTATCTAAACAAACTGTTTGATCATTGAGGTAATTTTGAGGTTAATCAGAAGTACAATGTGGAAAAAAAAGAATACTTATTACAGGAAAACTGTTAGTGATTAACAATAAAAAAATAATACTTCCAGTCTCTTTAGGACAATTTATGTGATACTACAAGACTTTCACTACAGTTTTTTAATAAAATATCAACTGAGAAACAGAAAGTAGTTGAACATGACTCACTGTTCTAGAAGTTGGAGGTGCTGATGGGCTTGTAAGTGATACCATTTCCTGAATTGCTAGTCGGAGTTTTAAGCGATGGAGAGGGTTGCTGATTCCAATTTCTCTCTGAATCTCAGTATCAGACAAAGCAGACATAATAGCTCCACTCTTCACATTTGCACGGCAAGCAGCAACATACCAGGCAGGCATTCCCAGCCACAGCTGTTGAGAAAAAGTCACCAGTCTAAAGCAATGGAACCACCTCTGAAATTCCATATTATAGTTATACAAATACCTGATGAACCAAGTGAATAATTAAAGTACTGTGCATAAATAATTGTTCCTGAAAGGCTCTTTTTACCCTTATGAAATGGCTTCAGAAACTGTATCCTTCCACTATTGGAGCATTCTCAGTATTACCAGGCCCTAAAGGGATAGTTCTAATTGTTTTCAGACAGCATAGTTTCTGTCTCCAAACTGCCTGCTGTTCCTTTTGCAAGCCTCTGATGAGCAGAGATTGACACAACTCAGAAGTAAGTGGCAAACTGTTTGGCAGCTTCATCCAGTAAAAAAGACCAATGTAAGGGAAAACTGTCAAAGTAATTTTCAGTAGTGTAGGAGTGATGTAGGTGTGATGGGTCAAAAATTTTGCAAGAGGCAAGAATTGCTGAGGGTGATATCTTTTATTGGACCAACTATGTAGTTGGGATAAACTTAGACAAGCTTTCAAGTGCAAGACATTCTTTGTCAGGTCACTTTCACTTCAGGCTCAAGATAGGACTTGAAACCCAGGCTAGTGAAAAATGAAAGGCTAGTGGTCTGACCTTTTTCTCCACTTGACTGCCATATGTTTTGTATTTTAATGCTGTTTCCTAACAAAAAAACATTTTGTGAAGTCATTTAAAAACATTTATTGTGCTTTCCCAGTGGTAGTTCTCATTGCTTCTCGTTTCTTGCCTTAACACAATCAGAACGGCAGAAACACAAGAGATCAGTGTGGAAGCCTATGTCCATATGTCAAAAGGCATATTGTGTACTGAGACACTTTATGCTAGTCTGCAGGTACGATCTCTTGGACCAGAAGCTACATTAGCTGTGTTAGTGGGATACTGCATATAGGCTAATTGACTTTGTTTCTCAGAAGAGTTCACTGGCCCCTGGGGAGCACCATTTGGGAGCTAGCCCATATGGAGCCTTGATGTTGTGTCTCAACAGGTGTTGCACTGCACCCCAGAAGGGACTGAGTTATCAAATCTAGTCCCCTACTGTCATAGGTAACCATTAGGTCTGTGCGAAGCTTCGGTTGCTGATTCGATTTGGAGGAGATTCGACCCAATTCGGAACACTCCTGGAGGATGCTCCATCTGCCCCACCATCTCAGTGCTCACAAGCCGCACCTGGTACCTTGAGGTATGTAGAAAAAACATATAAAGTTGCGTCTATGGCTGAATTGCTGATTCTCTGAATCAGAATCGAATCTTCAGATTTGGATTTGGCCGAATTGAATCAGGACAGTGATCCAAATCAGCAAATCGAATCACTGCCCCCTACATTGGGCCAAATCTGAATTGAATACATCACACTTTGCACACCCCTAGTAACAATGACATCCCTTTTTTTAAGTTTATCAAGTTCCATCTTGAAAACAGGGTTCTCACCCCCATTACTGCTGGTGGAAGACTCTAGGGCTAAGTGCAGACATTTGGGGAGGTTAGGAGGACATTAGACTAAGTTTAAAATGGCCACCCAATCTAAGGTTAGTCAGGATGGGGGGAAGCTAGCAGGGAAAGGTTGTGGAGGTTGTGAGGGGCAATCAGGATGGGGGGGGAATCAGGGATCTGTGGGAATAATGGGGGCAAGTTGGATCCATGGGAGTGATTGGTGGGGATTGGGAGGGGGCAGGCAGGATCTGCAGGGGGGATGTTCTGGGGTCTGGGATGGTCTAGCGGGATCAGGAGGGCTTGTAGTGTCCATGGGGAAGGAAACCTGGGTGGGGGGGGCAGAGGCTATTTTTAGTTCCCCACCACCACACTGGCAAACCTACACCCCCATTCCTCCCGCCCCTCTGCTCACTGATACTTACTTCCTTGGCTCTGGCAGGTTTGAATACTGATAAATCTGGTAGCATCCAGAGCAGCTTGTGGGACAGGGATTTTGGTGGGCGGGGAGGTTGGCTGTTCTGCAGGGGGGTGGCAAGGTGTCTGGGGGCTAAAAATAGCCTGGTGCCAGGGGGACAGGTCAGGTAAGCACTGCCCCAGGGCTGTGGTGATTGGCTGGGCTTTCCTAGCTCTGGGGCTGCACAGAAGTTCCACAGACTGATCTAAACTAGATTGAGTGAGTCTGGTGCTGCATCAATCTAGGTCTATCTTAGACCAGTTCCACCATTTTAGAGCAGTCTATGTATGCAGAACTTCTGTACAAGTATGGGTTTAGATTATTTTTCTGGTCATTGACACTGGGTCTATAAGTGTAAGGTCCACACCTGGGCAAACAATGTTAGATTCGGCAGCCACTTTAACTCAGTGTAACTTCCCCCTAACATCCCCACTTAGCTTAGAACTATACTCTTCTGATGGTTAGATGAAAAATCTGAAAAGGGCTTGATTTGCAGTATGTAGGGGCTCATATCCTCCTAGAAAGCAGACCACTTTATGATGTTATAAATTGGGCATAAAACTGATTTCAATCACTAGTCAGTTTTGAAAGTTTAAATGAGCTATATCTTCATCTAATGAAACTTATTTTTTTTAAATAAATCAAATGGGGTATCTTTAGTTTGATGCTTTAGATCATTTCTATTAACACTTAAGACACAATACAATGCATTTTTGAGGGAGGGATAAAAGAAAGGGTGAAGGAGTTTTAGTCTTATTTTTTGCTGCCCACCCATACATTTATAGATGGCTGGCAATTTTGGAGGGTGGCAACATGTAAACCCCCCTTATAATTGGTCCTTTTTTCTTTAAAAATGTACGTGTAATAGATGTACACAACTATATACAATACACAATATGGATGCTTTGAACATGCAGAGTCACAAGCACTTTTTGAAACTTATACATTAGTTACTAATTGGGCATGTCTACACACTGGCTTAAATTTATTGCACAGTAAGTGGGAATAGGCTGGCATCTACATGTGCAGATTTAAAGCACATTAATGCTATGTGTGGACAGACTTGGGACTAAAGTTAGTCCCAAGTCAGTGCATACACACAGTGTTACTGTGCAGTAAGGTGCCTACATATGCATTACTGTGCAGTAACTAATCAGACGTAAATTTCATACCTGCATATATATGCAAGTATCAAATTTACGCTCACGTCGGCATAAGCCACCATATTTACTCTGCAGTAGAAGTGTGCACGTGTAGACATCAGCCTGTACTGCGCAGTAATTTTGGTTACTGCGCAGTAAATGAACATCTGTATATGCGCCCATTGAGTGGAAACAATCTTTGTTAGTAACATTCTATTGTGTCTTAACACACATGTCTCATCCTCAGAGTCTTCTGAAATATTTGACTACTGCAGCAACTGAAAGCCTAAATTTTCAGAAGTGTCCATTAATTCTGGGTGCCCAAGTCTGGATTTCCAGCAGGGCTGAGAATCTACAATTTGAACTAAATCACTGGAAGCTTCACATCTAAAAAATCAGGTTCTGTGCATCTCAAGATGAACAGTCCAAAACAGCAGATGATTTTGAAAATTTAAACCTAAACTCTCATTAGTGGATTTGAGCATTAGAACTGTTACACTAAGTGAGTAAGCACAGGCATAGACACTCATCAAAACATGTCACTGACAAATTCACATAGTCTTTAGCCATCAGAGACAGTGAAAGGGACTTTAATTTTACAATCTGTAACAGCAGAGTGAAATATTGCACCATTAACACTGGGTATAAATCCTTGTGTTGGAAATATTTACTGCAAATAAGAACTGCTTGATGAATTTCACGTCCTGCTATAAATAAAGATTCTGAATGATGTACAAGGAGCTAAAAAGTGGTCTATATGAAGAAAACATTTTACAAGAGCGCTCCCAGTTACCCATGGGCATCTCAGCCCACCCTTGGATATTAATGGAGTGTGCTTTTGCACTCTTTGGGGCATTGCTGTGTCTGATGCCAAGCTGGAGAGCACTGAAATCTAGTTTATAAAAGCCAGTAAAGCTACCTGGAGCTGCAAGAGATGACACAGGAAGCAACTGACTAAGGATTACTTAAGATGTCCTATCTGAATGAGGTCTACAGAACGGTAAGGTGGCAAGATTCTCCCTCTTGGAACCCTGTTTAGGTTTAGACGTGAAATTTATATGAACCATCAGAATGCTTTCTTTAGTATTTCAAATAGCACCTGGTACTGTATCTGAATTGCCTTAAAAATCTTATGGTAGTTCCTATTTTTATCATAAAGAAATCTGTAGTGAAAAGTGAAAATGCTGCACAACTAGAAACATGAGCCCAAATCCTGCACACTCTTAGGCATATAAACAGTACTTGCACAGCTAACTTTAGTGTCATTTTGAGCATCTTATACAAGATTTAGATCCCACTCCCTCCAGGATAACTCAGTTTATCCCCCTGAGCATCCTATTCCACCCGGGTAGCTGCATAAACTCTATGAAATGTTAGCCACAGAAAAACTAGGCTTAGCCACTGTTTGACAGAGGAGGACTCTCATCTTTTAGCCCAAGAGCTAAGTGCTTCGGACTTGCACAGGGAATGGGAGGCTCAGGCTCAAGGCTTCCTTTATACAGAGGGGATTTGAATTTACATGTCCTACTTCCTAGCAAAGTGCCAGAACCACAAAGCAATTAGGTAGGCCTCACCAAAAACACCTTTCACTTGGCCTGTTGAAACTGGCCCACAGGGCAGGCAAGAGGGGAAGGTATGTGGGTATAGAAGAAGAGCAAGCTAAAGGAAATGTAGCCCTGTAAGATGGGTACTGCCATGAAAGGGAGGGAGCCCTAGGCTCTTGCTCCATCTTTAGGTGCTTTTTGAAACATTTCACATTCTTCTTTTTAATCTTATTTTTTTCCTGTGTGTGCATTCTTTAAGAAATAAGATTTTTTTTTCCCTTTTGGACTTTCCAGAAGACAAACACATCATTTAATCTGGCATGAAATGGTTCCCTAAAAATTCATGCAAAATTTTGGAATGGAGTGAGTCCCTGCTGCAGAACTAAATACAAATGTATATTAGATCAGTTGAAAAATGAGCATTTGGGTTCTGACCAGCCTACCAGGCCTCTATCCACATGAGAAAATAAGACTTTAGGGCAGACAGAAATTACATTTATTGCATGATTGGTCCCCTGAAAGTGCTGTACAACCATTCCCTAACACAAGAGCACAGCTGCAGAGCACTTCAATCGTGCAACAAATTAACCCTCATTGTATGTGGGTTCACATGAAGGTGCTCTAAGGTAGATACCCTTCATTAACTTGCATCTGCTGCAGCACCTAGGGTGCTGCAGCCCAGCCCTGCCTCTGTTGTTGTCTCAGGATGGGAATGGGGGAGAAGGGAGGGGAGGGAGCTCGAGCTGGTGTTTGCCCAGTTTGTGCTAGAGTGAGGACAACTTTGGGGACTTCAATCCATATACCCGCACTACACAGCAGGCTGGGCAAACACCAATCCGAGCTCCCTCCTCTCCCCCCCCCCGCCATCCTGAAACAGCACCAGAGCTGGGAGAAGGGTGGCAGGGCTAAAGGAAAAGTCTGCTGATACATAGGTTTCTCACTGGATCAGCTCCAAATTGGAGCTCAATCCCCTATCCTTCCAACCCAATGTCTCTTGGGTTGGGAGAATCAGTCTAACTCATGGTGCTTTCTGTGAAGCACCATGAGTTAGACCGGGGAGATGCACTTCTGTCTGAACCTTTAGTTTGACTAAATGGCATCTATGAAAAAGAAATCCCATTTTCCATGCAGGGAATCTGCGGATCAAAATAGACATATTTTGTGAGATATAGTTAAGGTAGCCCACAACTCTTTAGATATATCCAAGTTATACTCATCTTACACAAAACATAACTGTGTTAAACGATCATTAAAAATGCTAAATCAAGTACTGAAAGTTATAAAATATGAGTCAAGATTGCTTGTGAAATCTTAATTTGGCCTGCTTGTGCATATTCTTTATAGTAGAGAGTTTAATTACACAAACATGTAGCACTTTTTCACCAACAAGACTCTTACTTCAGTCATTTCACAGAATATATGATGCTCACCCAACAGGTTCAATATTCTTAAATTCAATATTCATTTTATCTTCATTTTTAATTTTATCTGGCCTCAGACCTTAGTTACCACACCTCATCAAAAACCTAGCACTGCATACTCACCTGATGAAGAACACCTGAAGCCCAACAGCATGCTCAACTATACAGCCGGTCCAATAAAAGATGTCACAAAAAGCCTGGCCTCTCACATTTTCTAAACCATCACGACTACAACATTACTCCAACCCTGCTATAATTTTGTTTCCTCATTTTTCTTGCATCTATTGACAAATTTATCTTCACCACACCTGTCAGTAGGGCTGTGTGAAGCTTCGGGTGCTGATTTGATGCACAGGAGATTCAGTGACTGAATCTCTGAATCTGAATTGAATCAGGAGACCAATTAAAAGGTTCAAATCAATTTGAACCTCTCTGAATTAATTTGGAAAAGATTTGGAGAGCTTCGGAGATTTGGTCAGTTCCCACTGGCTGCTGTAGGGAGCTGGACCATGCTGTTAGGTAGGGGGTGAGGGATGGGGGGTTGGAGGAAGGGGGAGGGGACCATGAGGGGACCCTCCCAGGCCTCATCCCCTACCTGCTCTCCCAGCCCCCACCCCACCCATAGCTGCCCCACTGGCCCCAGCTCCTGGCTCTTTAAAAAAAAGCCCCCACTCACCAGCTGCTGCCAGGTGGGGGGGCATTTCCCGCTGCCCCCCACTGCCCCAGGATGTGGGGGGGCTCTGCCATGAGCCCCCGACCTCCACCCACTCTCTCAGCCCCGACCCCGTCACTGCCCCACCCAGCCCCAGCTCTTAAAAAAAAAAAGCCCCTGACTCAACGTGAATACTAGTCGCTTCACACAAGCCTACCTGTCAGGGGAGAGAGTATTGTCATACACATTTTACAGATAGGAAATTGTCAAGATTTGACAAAATTTTCTCAGTACTCAGAAATTTTATAACAATTTATATGAGGAGTAGGCAACTCTTTCTGGCTTCAGGTTAGAATGACCTACCTTGAGTCAGAAGTGGATTGGCAGACAGGTGCTAGGACCTAGCTGCTGCCACCACTCACACAGGGAAAGTGTTTGGAACCAGTGCTTGTCCCTGTGGAGGCACGGGGAGAGTACCAGCAAGAAGTGCTTTAGGCCTATGGTAGCACAGGGGGAGCACCTACAGTTGAAGCCCTCCCCCACTGCCAAATGTCACTAAAGTCTCATATCCGCAGGCCATATCCAATGGTTCGATGGGTCAGATCCATTCCACAGCCTGTATGTTGCTCTGTACCTTCAGACAACAATGCAGTTGTCTTCATTTGCAATTGTAAGTGCTCAGAACTTGTACAAATCTGGCCACAATTGCCCCCTCCCCCCCTCTCTTTCCGTATGTCACAAACTTGTCCATTTGGTATATTAGAACCCCAAGTTTCCTTCCAGTGTCCGACTGCTTGTCCCAAGGAAAAGAACAGTTTGACCTGGGATAACTCCTAATCTTCATAAGTCTCAGCTACACTACCTTTATACTGACTCCCACAGCTGGAGCAGGGGAATCTTTGACAGGTCCAGGTGATCACTCCTTGAGTTGTAGAAGAATTCTAGGTGTTTCCCTTCATAGAAGGGGTTAGTTTGGAATAGCACTGAAACCATGCTTTACCACGGGCAAACAGTAAGACAGTAAACCACAAAAGGATTTATTGTACAGGAGTAAAGAAATATATTAGAAAAACTGAGTATAGTTTGAAGGCAGACTACACAAATAAAATTTTTCACCCTTTTTCCTGATTATAACACTGTCTTCCAGTGTGTCCTGACAATGTTTACAGACTTTAGCAATCCATACAATGCTAGGAATGACATAAACAAATACAGCTTATTATCAGCGTTTAACCAAGACCAAACATGAAGTCAATTAAATCAAACTTGGGACAGATGTTTCTGTGGGAGACACTCTAACCCCAAAATTATTCCTGCTTTTGGGGTAGATTTATGATACTTCATTCCCCACTCTAACCTATATGAGGCCAAGTGATTTTTCTTTTGGCAAATCTTTCACTAAAAATAGAAGTGATACAAATTCCTTTTGGGCATGTCTACACAATACATTTACTGTGCAACAGATTAATTAGTTGCACAGTAAACATCTCAGCATCTACATGGGTATTCCTATTAGGCTGGAGAAAACTAATTTATTTTGCAGCAGGATAGTACTGGTAAATACTTAAAAACTAGTATTTACCAGTAATATCCTGCTGTGGAGCAAAAAACTCTGCAGCGGTGCATGTGTACACACTGACCCAGCTGGCTGGGGCATGAGGATGCTTCAGTGCAGAGGCTGCCTGCTGGCTAGTCCCACACTGAAGCAACCTTGTGCCCCAGCCAGTCCCTCTGCAGGATATTGAGCCAAGGGGGAAGAAGCCCTGGGCTGGCAGGCTGATGCTTATTGCTGTACATTAATAGGTCCATGCAGACATGCCCCTTCTGTCTCATTCAGACCAAACACATAAACCTGGGTCTCCCAGGATCCTGCCCTTGTCACTGGCATTCTTATATGGGTCTCTCTCAATATTCATCTAACACTTACCTCCAGCCAGGCAACCACTGTAGGTCCATCCCACTGTGCAAAAGGCAACCCCTTTCTCCGAGCTTCCTCCAACAGTTCATGCCTAAAAGGGTATCACAAACTGTTCAGTACACAGCATAAGCTGGGAACAACACAGATACAACACAGATGCTAAAGGCAACAATAAAGAACAGTAATTTTGTTCATGAATAATTACTTTGACAGCACTGTTTAAAGGTATAAGCCTGAGAAAGAAATACCAGCTCCTTCTAAAGTATGATTGGATTTTTTTCTAGGCCAAACTATTTTTTTGTCTCTTTCTTCCACATTTTGTTTCTTGATGTCCTTTTACAGTGCTTGACATGCAAAGGATTGAATAACTGAGTAACACAGCTACGTATTATGCAATGTGAGCATGTTGATAGTAAACAGTTGAGGTCATATATAAGCCAGGTCCTATGACCCCAAACATTGGAGTCAAGTGGGAAACACAGCCCCCTCCTTAGAGCCATAGGAGGGGATGGGAACAGGAGCACTGTGGGATGCTAGAGGACCGAGCAACCCCTATCATGCTCTACTACCAGGTGCAAATGCTAGATGAAGTGCTTCATAGTGAAATGTTGGAGGTGGGGGGTATTTTTCCTGGGGTCATTTTTGAAGGGGGACAAACATTTCTGAGGCAACTCATCAGGCGTATATGTTTGCATCCTCACTTTTTGCAGCACTTGGAGTGCTTATGTCTATCCAGACCCTTGATAGCATCCATTGCATTACCATCATGCAATAATTTATCTTTACATGTCAATTATAAAATTGGTCAGATAGATCCAGATTCTATAACTACATGTGCTAGATGTCAATAAGGGCAGAACACATCTGCCTCTGTCCAGAATAATGGCTTTTGATGCTTTAAAACAGAGTAACATTATATTTAATATAACAGCACTGAACACTGGTTATGTCCATTTAAGTCTATTGAATTACCAGGAAAATGTTAACGTGGCTCTTTACTAGTGATAAATACCTGACAATACCTTTAGTTCTGAGGAAAGGAACTAGGGAAGATATTTCAGTGACGCAATTTATTAAGCTGTCCCTCAAAAATCTGTTTCCTATTAAACAAAGTATTTTTTGTCAACCTCTCACTGAGAAGAACACAGAAAATATGCTCTCTGCAACAAGCAGGAGTGAAAACAAATTAAACAAGACCCACGCTAATGTAACATTAAAATTTGCTTATAACACTTCCTAAGGAAGGCAATGTAGAGTTATAACATCAATTTTACTTATTGTCTTTTATTATTACAGCCAACTTGCTTCAGATTTCTCCTGACAATACTCTTTTATTGTACTGTAAAGTGTGAAACAACAGCACAATGGAGCAGATTAAACATGATGAAATAACCCTGCTTTTAAGAAATAAACTTGGGTCCTGTATTTTGAAGGGGCAGACTCAGAGTGTCAGAATTGGATTCTATTGGAAGATATGCCTTCAAAGACAATTTTACCGTTATTTAGTCATCCAAACTATTTAGACACCCAAAGTTAGGCTGTATGGGTCTAATCATCTGCTTCCACACAGAAGTAAATATACATTTTGACAAATATACATATTTTGACAAAAAGAGTATCAGCTTTTTAAAATCTGGCCCTACAGCTGCTCTAGGATTCTTTGTTGCTACTGTGACTGAGTATAATGCTTCTAATGCATGACCACACTTTTCCATTAAAGTTATCAAATCCTGTGAAGTCTTGTTCTCTAATCCTAGTGTAGTCTGTGGCTCCTGATACTGGATTCACGTGCATCTTTCTGATGCTGGGTCCTTCATCTTGGTTTGTTTCTAGCCGCTACTCTGTCTCCCTGGTCTGTTCCTGACAACATCTTTGGCATTCAGCCCCCGGCTGTGACTGTCTTGACCCTTGTCTCTGAACTCAGGTTCCGTTCCTTACCTGACCTTAATCAAGCCTAGCCACCTTATGGCCCAGCCAGAATAGTGACTATCTAGGAGGCTGTTTCCTACCTGAATGGGAAATCAGGAGCCATTTTTCCCAGTAAGGTAAGGACTTTTTACTTTGTTATCCAGTGGAGCTCTTTGCCATTGCACTCTGCATTGAAGTAGAGACAGAGCATCTCATGTGCAATGCTAGAACACCTACCTTGAACCCTTATAAACATTGGCAATGCATTGGTGGGCACATGGCCCCCCCACTGATTTCTGCACCAATGGCAGGGTGCAAGCACAGGGCTGCAGCCTGGCTACAGTTAGCAGCGAGCGTGGGGGTGGCGGCAGCAGAGGCATGGAGTTGTGCTCTCCCAGTCTCAACGCTTACACGTCGTTTATGCTTATAAGCCTCTGAGCCTGGAAACTCTTGGACATAATGCTAAGTGGTCTCCCTGAGCCACATCCTTGTGGGTCTCACAAAACATTTTAGTTCCCATAAGCTCCACAAAGAAACCAGCCCTAGGTTGGAGGGGGGTCACTAAGGCAGATAGTTTCCTTGCCTTGCTCTCAATCAGAATGCTGGAACACTGGGATGGGACTGAGCCAATATGCACTTTATCAGCACTGACAAAGGTCATTATAGGGATCTGGCAAAGTCCCATGTAAATGGTCTTAGTCCTGAGTCAGATGCTGAACCCAGGGATCTTTCCAGGAAGAGCCTATTTTCTCCTCTTGGTATCTGAAGGCCTGGTGTTTGAAGGAACAATATACTTAGTATGAGATTGGGATGTGTGCCTCTGCCAAACAAGAGAGATGCCTTCGTTATTAACCTGGTACACTCACACAGTTGAAATCCTGGAGTACTCTGGGAAACCCATAGAAAATACATAAAAGCAGGGGTGTTGCTACCTCTGTATGTAAAATCTCATTCTAGAAAGGATAAGAGGTAGGAAGGGACATATACAGAACAGATGATGCCTGGTGATTGTGTTGAATAATGCAGGTAGGGAAGGGTGAATCATAACTACTAGACTGGAAAAGTCCAGAGTCTTTTCTTCCCAGTTCAGTGAAGAAGCTGGAAGAAACTTCAGGCCTACAGGTACAGTCTGAGACCCATGAGCAGCACGTAGGCCAGATGATCATGCTCAACAGGTTGGATCTGGCTTGTGGGCTTTATCTTTGACCCTCCTGGCACATTGGACTAAGCATTGCACTTGCTCAGGGAATCGGTGGTAAGAACCTCATGAGCTCAGCTGCCATACAATGATCAGACAAGTCAGATCTGGGCTCTCAGATTAACATTAGGCAGCTGCTTCTCAGAGAGATACACTCCCCCAGAATAGAGTAGCACTTCTACAGCTTCACAGACAGTCAGGCTCATGGATTTACTATATGGCAACAGCTGTGAATATTGCTTTTGGCTGAAAAGAAAAGGCCAAAAATCAAATTCCTTGTACTACCAGCTGCTCTTACCAATGACATAAAATGCATAATCCTGAGGGCTGTGGTGGGTACAGCAAGTGAAGGAGGAAATTGTTTATGCAATTCCTTTTAAAATATACTTACTTGAAATGTTAAAATCTATTATTCAGTCACAAATTACCTTAAAGTGAAATTTCCCCTTGGGCAGAGTGCCAGGGCCAGACAATATTATTTAAGGATTTCAGAACTTTTTGTATTGATTTCATTTTCAAAAATGATTTCACTGTGCAAATGAACTTTCTTTCCTTTGTGGATCAGCCTAAACATCTTGAAATCAGTATTACATTTTATATAGGTCAGTATTTGCATTTTTATCTTTTTAATTGGGATTTAAAAACATGTATGAGACAGTTGCACAAGACCCATTACACAAGTTTTGCCTGTCAGCAGCTAGAGGTGCAGATCCCCTGCACTGATCTCCTCAACAGCTAGCAGGCTTTGTGGCCACAGCAGGGGCTACCATCCCTGCAGCTTTCACCCTGCTGTGCCTTAACACACACAGTATCACCCATGTCACAAGTTTTGCTTGTCCACAGCTTGAGGTGCAGTTTCCCCCAAACCCCAGCACCTATCTCCTTGGAAGCTGGCAGGCTTCATGGCCTCAGAAGGGGATAGCAGGCCCGAAGCTTTCACCCTGTTGCACCTTAACACATACAGTGTCACCCATGTAATGAGTTTTGCTTGTCTGCAGCTTGAGGTACAGTTTCCCCCAAACCCCTGAACCTATCTCCTTGAAACTTGGCAGACTTTGTGGCCTCAGCAGAGGATAGCATGCCTGCAGGTTTGACCTCACTGTGGCTTAACACTTACACGTGATATAAGTTTTGCTTTCAAGAATTTGGGGTGCAGTTTCCCCAAACCCCCTGTACCTATCACCATGAAACTTAGCAGACTTCATGCCTGTAGAAGGTGCTACCATTCGTGCAAGTTTCATCCAAATCCAGCCAGAAATGACAAAGTTATAGGCTGTTTTGACCTTCCCCATTATATCCTATGGGCGAAACATTGAAACAGGGTCGAAACGGCAAAACTGTTTTGACGGAACGGAAGAGGCCAGCTGGTTCGACTTGAAACAAAATTGGAAATGGAACACTGTTCTGTTGAAACGCTGGTCAAAACAGAATGCTGCCATTTTGCACAGCCCTAGTGCCCACTTTTTTTGCAGGGACTGGGATTTTTTCATGGAGGACTTATGAAATTCACAGTTTCTGCAAAGACCATAAAATCATGAATTTGGTAGGTCCCTAGTCATAGGCAGAACTGCTACTGTGACTCCACAGAGTAGCCAACTGGTTGACTGGTATAGGAACAGAGAGATCCCCATTCAGAAGAAGAGTGGAGAGGGTAATGAACTACATCAAAGGTTTTCAACCTTTTTCCATTTGTGGACCCGTAAAAAAATACAAATGGAGATGCATACCCCTTTGAATTGTAAGTGTGGGTATTCATGTACTTTCGATTGATCATAGTCATCTTTCATGGCCTCCTTAGATATAGTCTGTGGACCCCCAGGGATCTGCAGACGACAGGTTGAAAATCACTGAGCTACATAATGACTTCTGCTCCATCTTCCTCACTCCTTCTTCTCTCATGGGCAGACCCAAGATTTATTAAAGGGAGGGTGCAGCATACCACTCCTCATACCATGTGTAACTTTGGGTGAGGTGTGGCTGGAGCC